AATATAAAGATAAGTACCTTATAAATACCTATAAACGTATATTATTATATTATACTATTATACGTTTATAGGTATTTATAGGGTACTTATCTTTATATTAGATTACTCGTAGTATACCTAAACCACCTACATGATAAAATGGGTAGCCCACGAATAACCCAAGAAAAACTTGGATACCTACGGGTGCCCACGGGTACCCGTTTTTACACTCTAATTCCAACCACCAGTGGTGGATGATGTGGTGAGAAACGGTGGGTCTGATGACATGAGCAAACCTTGAACCCCAGATTCTCCCCGCAAGGCGGAGTTTTTGAGGCGTCTGGGCTGCGCTACAAAGAGAAGCGAAACTCCGCCTTGTCCATGTGTTTGCAGCATTCATGCATGCACTTGAGCATACCGAGTACAGCTGAAGGCCTGCGGAACTCTATTGGTAGCGAGTTTCGTCTTGGAAATGGCGTCTCACCTCAGCTGTTCACTCCCCGACTGATCCGCGATCCCCGATTCCCCTCATGTTGAGGTGGCCACCGTCTCAATCCATGCCTTGTCCATTCTATATGAGCCACGTCTATGGCCGTATAAAGGCAGATGCCTGGTCGGCTCTTCATGATTCTGGTTTGAGCAAAACAAATCCACAGACGTAATTTCCAAAGGGAAAAGAAACCGTCCAAGAAAATACCCTAGTGGCCTCCCGCGGTTTTCACGAATCCCCAGCCATGGCAACAAAGCTAGAGACCAGACCACTTGGGCGAGGCGGCCCTCTTGTATCTACAATTGGGTTCGGGGCCATGGGTCTTAGCTCAATGTATGGCCAAGGAGGCTCTGATGAAGAACGCTTCAAAGTGTTGGATCGCGCCCACCAACTTGGCAACACATTCTGGGACACGGCAGATGTCTATTTCGACAGCGAAGACCTCATCGGTAGGTGGTTCAAGAGAACTGGGAAGCGACCTGACATCTTTCTCGCTACCAAATGCGGTGCCGTCATGGATGCAAATGGCAACAGCTCAATCCGTTCAGATGGCGAATACATCCATCAGGCTTGCGACAAGTCCCTCGAGCGACTGGGAGTGTCGCATATTGACCTCTTCTATCTTCATAGATTGAATAGAGAAACTCCTGTTGAGACGACCGTCAAAGCCATGGCCGAGTTGAAGCAGTATGTCCAAGTCGTCCGTAGGCTCATCCCGAGGAAAGCAAGCTAATGTACCCCGTCAAAGGCAAGGCAAGATCCATCATCTTGGCCTCTGCGAAGTTTCGGCCAAAACACTTCGTCGTGCCCACGCTGTGCATCCCATAACAGCCATTCAAGTCGAATATAGTCCATTCTCAGTGGACATTGAGAGCCCCCAGATTGATGTTTTGAGAACAGCGAGGGAGCTTGGGGTGGCCGTCGTGGCATATGCTCCCCTCGGCCGAGGCATTCTCACCGGGCAGATCCGATCGCCCGATGACTTTAGCGACAATGACTTTCGGAAGAACCTGCCCCGTTTTTCCAAAGAAAACTTCCCCAAGAATTTGGAACTTGTCAACAAGATCGGGAGTATTGCATCAACTAAAGGCTGCACTCCAGGTCAATTGACGCTTGCATGGCTGCTCGCACAAGGTCATGACATCTTTCCGATTCCGGGGTAGGTGGACCAACCCCTTAACTCGCCTTCACATACCATGGGTTGCTAATCTACGCTGGGCAGTACAAAGAAGATCAAATACCTTGAAGAAAACCTTGGTGCGGTCCATGTCAAGCTCACGAAAGAAGAGGAAGCCGAGATCCGAAAGGCAATTCGTGAGACCGAGGTTGCGGGAGGCCGCTACACCGATGCGTAAGGTTTCTCTTCTTTTCTCTCTTGCAAAGACTATTGACTAATGTTCCTATGACCAGAATGTCCGGAGAGCTTTTCACAGACACGCGACCTCTATGAATGGTGTTCAAGGGACCGAGGCGCAGGACAGGTAGTGGCAGCGAGACGAGCCGTTGTCTCCGCACGGTCAGCTACGGCCGACCCAGGGGACGGAGTTCAGTCAGGGATGCTAAAAGTTCTATCCGTATTTCACATTGGCGGATATGCGGTGGCATTGACCAGCGTGGGCATATCAGCTATGCAATTTTCGTTCGAGTACGTGCAATGCAACCTGCCCCCAAGTTTGGATATCACGTATATACGATCCAGTGGAGGAGGATCGGCTGTGGCAGTTGAGCGCGAAACTTCAAGGGTGATGAAATGCATTCTCCCACTTCTTCAATAAAATCTTTGCAGGGCCACAGCTCGGACTATTGTGTTTGAAATTTTGAGGCTGCAATACTGTGTCGGCCAAGCGGAGTTCAAAGATGACAAGGAGGTGGGTAGGCAGCTCAAACCCTGCCATAGATTCGGCATTGCGACGATCCCGTATTTGTGATATCAGAGAGGGCTCCGGGTTGGACTGATGTTTGCAAGCATTACTTCCGAGGGCATTTGCTCACCCGCAGCTGAACATTTTGCTTCCACCATAGACCCAACCACTCTGCTTTCCTGAGTGGAGTCCTGACACTATCACCGTCCAAATCAAATGACACGGGTCGTAAACATGTAGGCTAAACAATAGTATTTCCTTTGATACACACAGCTTCACGTGCCATCAGCCTAGACTCTTGGTACTTATGTGGCGTTTGCCGGCGGATCATTTGCGAAAAGTTGGTGGGTGCTGGCTCCGGAAGAGTCGGCAGTGAAGTGTGTTGACTTCTATGCCTAAGATACCAACCAATATTGAACTCCGCAGAACTCCTTTGGAAAACTTGTGCGGAAATGGGGCGGATCATGCCGGGTGCCAAACTCCGCGCAGTCAGTAGATTGATATACAGCGTCAATAGGCTTAATTCACTTATGTTTAGATGGATTTATAATCTCCTCAGAGTCGGACCACTGGTAATGGATACGATGGAGATAATTATTAATGGTAATCAAGGGGACTGAATATGACACGACCTGCCTTGCCGTACCGGACCACAAGCACATAAATAGTTTCGACCCCGAGACAATAGTTCACCAATACTTGGGTAGAATCAATTTGGTCTTTGCAAGCTATTTTTTGTCGCACATTAGTCATCTCGAAATGGCCGTCTCGCCCGCCCCAACTTCGACTGTCCATAAACAGCCTTATGCGGCCATCGACCCTGCCCGCCCTGAGCTCTCCCAGAAGGGCCGTGTTGTTCTCGTCACAGGAAGCTCCAGTGGAATAGGATTCGCAATCGCAAGAAGCTTCGCTAAAGCCCAAGCTGCGGTTGTTATTTTAACCGGACGCCAACAGGCGTCCCTTAGCAAAGCCGTTGACATATTGAAGCTGCAGTTCCCAAACACACAGTTTATCGGGAAGGGTATTGACATAGCTGACTCGGATGCTGTTGGGCTTCTCTGGGATCAACTGGATGCAGAAGACCTTGTTGTCGACGTTTTGATCCTCAACGCCGCACGCATCCAGCCCAAGGTGGCGTCTATGCTGGATTTGGGCTATGAAGAGGTGGTTGCCGACTTTGCCACCAACGTTGGTGGCAACATGAAGCTTACCGACTGCTTCTATCACCAGCGCAAACGAGATAAGGCAAAGAGATTGGTACGTTGGGGCAAAGACTGGCAGAAAGCTGTTAGGAACAATCGTCAGCCCCTCGGTTGCTAACCTCGCTAGTCCTTACTGAATGTGTCAACCATGGCCATCCACGATTTTGAAGTTGCGAGCGGCATGCCAAACTATTCGGCTTCAAAGAATGCTGGGACCATCGTAGTACAACAAATTGCCCGTGGTGTCGCTCCCAGCGATATGCAGGTCATTAGTTTTCACCCAGGTTCCATATTAACAACAGCGGCCCAGAAGTCTGGGCATACGGAAATGTCTCGTCCATGGGATAACGGCAAGTGAACCTTTGGCTTTCATAAACTGGGAATTGAAACTTTGAATTCTAACTGGCATTTTAGAGGACCTTCCGGGACACTTTGCGGTTTGGGCTTCGACCACTGAAGCAAGTTTCCTCCATGGCCGTTTCGTTTGGTCCTCCTGGGACATTAATGAAATGCGCCAGGGTGAGTTTAGGAAGCGCATTGACGATGATGACAACTATCTTAAGGTCGGAGTCATAGGTCTTTAATTTTGCAAAAATACGACACTCATAATGCTACTGGAATAACACAGTTCAGCGATAAATATGTACAACTATTCCAGTATGTCAGGTATAATTGCTATATAGTTATCTATCACCTCTTGATTATTTGCTGCTATATTGTGACCAACGGAGGAATCCCGGGACCCGTGAATGAGGTTAGGGAAGGAGGTAGGATTCTAGCTTACGACACTGGCCGTATGTAATGCCCATCGAGAAGCAAGTGCCTAGGCAGTGACAGCATCGTGTCTGTTACAAATACATGCAAGCAGCAGATGGATTCATTTCAGCACGCACCTGGCACTCTACAATGTGCAGACGACGAGGTTAAGAATCAGAGTTATAACATAATTGATGCATTTTTATTTTCCTCCGCAAGATAATGAGAACCTCCGCATCTTGCAAGGACTTTTCAGAATACGATGAAAAGTGAAGGGCTGAGTTACCAAGACTGAATAGCACGTCCCCCAACATGGAAGCCGACCCTTTTGTCCGTCCCACTCTCCAACAATAGCAGGAGGGCGATTGTGAAAGATACAACACTAGTGACGTTGATGTTGAGCTGCGTGCACGTCGTTCATTTTTTGAAGGCTGAGGAGCAAGACAACCAGAGTGCGTATGGATTGACCCAATTTGGGTACAGCTTCATCATCTCGTCAAACAGTTGTTCTGGAGATGTTGTCTTGCCGACCAACTTTCCAAAGTCCTCAATATATTTTATAGTTGCTGCGAGATTGTTGGTCCCATCAACGGCGCCTGGTCGTTTATGCCCAGCGATGACGGTATGTGGTTTGAGGGCTGCAATATCCTTGACTATTGACACCCATGAATCTCGACCGCGTTGAGTATTTGTCTCGCCAAGGAACTGATGAGTGTCGTTGTATACACAGTCGCCTGCAACGACCATATCCAGAGACGGGACGTGCAGGTACGTCGTATTCCAGGTATCAGATTGTCCTGCATCGACGGCAAGCAGCTTATGACCTTCAAGGAGAAGGATATTGTCTTCTCCCAGAGGCTTAATTCTAGAGAGGATGCCCTCAGTTTCAATATGATTCGCAAACCGGCTCGCCCAAACCGCTTGATAAAAACGGGGTTCCAGCTCGCTCTTCATGTGCTCTATAACTTTCGAGGTTGTGACCGCTCTTGTATTCGGGAAGCGCTCGAGCAATCTTTTCAGGCCAAAGAAATGATCACCGTGGCCGTGAGTTATGTAAATTGCTGTCAAGCGTTTGGTTGGTATGACTGACGTGATCCAATCGGCAAGATCGTCAGCTTGGGCTGTTGACAGGAGCGCATCCACCAGAACAGCCTCATTCTCTCCAGATATGAGAGTGATGGCCATCGGGGACCATACTGGGGTTATGAATGAAGGCAAGTCCTCCGGAGCAGGGAATGGAATTCCCGGAGCAACGTAGACGTCGGCTCTAAGAGTGGTATGCATGACGTTGTATTGGTGTAAAGATGAGCACACTGTAAAGCCCTTTCATACAACAACAATAATAATATGATAATAATAAAAAGTCGCCTCCTTAGATGTATAACGGCACTCTACACTTTATACGAGAGAAGAGGCACCTTGGAGAGGTTTGACTTGACGAGTACCGACAATCAAGTATTCGCGCTAATGACGCCAAAGTCGCCGGCCATTGGCAGACTCGTGGAGGTGCCACATAGCATTGACTTTTATTAGTGATCAGCAGCAACTCCGCGTCTTTACCATATTAGGCAATATACTGTTTCGGGTTAGCTCTTCAGAATCAGTTGGGGTCTTGGTTGCCACTCAGCTCATTTCCAGTAAAACTAAGCCTAAACCCAATTGCCTTGGCATCTCGCATCTCTATTGACGTGCCGGACCGAGTTCATGCCCGTAGTATGATATTTGATCAGTTACTACTTATAGTAATTTTCCAGTTCTAGTTAGACTACTTTCACTTACCTAGTTGTTGTTTGCCAAATCGACATATATAAACCCAGAAACGCCAATAAAACTGACAACTGGCTGATCGTACTGCTACCCAGAATTACACAATCTCTAGTTGCTCAGATCCGCATCCGCCCTCGTTTTAAATCATGGAGCACGGTACTATCACTACCAAGCGGACGGGCTCCGTCTTGACAGCGACTATCGACAACCCCCCGATCAACCTATGCAACTGGAAGTTCATGTCTGACTTTGACTCACTCCTGTCCAGCGTTACTTCAGGCGATGGAATAAAAGTCTTGGTAGTTCAAAGTGCGAATCCGGACTTTTTTGTCGCCCATCTAGACCTACTCCCTCGTTCTGGTAAGCATAGTCATGATCTACCAGGTCTTTTCATTTCTTACAGCTTGTTTGCAGAGTCCAACTTTCCAGAAATGCATCCCGAGTACCCAACACTGGGGTATTTCTTTGGCCTCATGTTTAAACTCACCAATCTACCCGTTGTTACTATAGCCCTTGTTGAAGGGCGTGCCCGTGCCGGAGGTTGTGATTTTGCAATGGCCTTTGACATGCGTTTTGGTGTAAAAGGTCGCACATTCTTATCCCACCTCGAAGCATGTCTTGGTGTTTATGCCTCTGGTGGCGGGTCAATGCGCTGGGCTCAACTGATGGGAAAGTCTCGGGCGTTGGAGTATCTCTACTCCGGGACTGACATTGAAGCGGAAGAAGCGGAAAGGTACGGCATACTCAACCGAGCATTCGAGACTCCTGCTGCAATGCGCATGTTTGTGGACAAGTACACTCAGCGCGTGGGAAAATTTGAGCTTACTGCACTTGCTTTGACAAAGAAGAGAATAAATGAGGCTACAAACGCATCTTCTCCGGAAACATTCGAAAAGGATTTCCGGGCATTTGTGGAACTCCTGTCTTTGCCAAGGACAAGTGTGTTGGTATCAGAGATTTGGACAGTGATTAAGGGGGCAACGGATTGCGATGAAGAGAGGACACTTCCAGAAGCTCTCATGGCCATGCCATCATACAATAATTGAAACAGGCCCTATATGCGCTGCTCATTCCAGCGTTGGGCCTTGCATATAGGCCAGATCCAGTCGTCTGTATCACAAAACGGCATCGCACAATGATGCGCTTTTCCTGCGCGTCTCAAGCACAATCTCAGTTTTATCCAAGCTACAAATTGAATACATGATGTCTTTTTAGTCCGGTTTTAGTATGATCTTGCTGCTTGCACCTATTAACTATAACACAAATGCCTCATAATCAGCAACTCTTCAACCTCATTCCAAACATCGAGACACTCTGCCAGAAACATGGGTGTCACATGCATGAGACCTCTAGCTAGCTCTCCCGTTCTCCGACCATTCGGAATCATTCCCTTTTCGCAGAGATCGGCAAGAAATTTCACATATTGATGCCTCTCTTCTCTCCCTTTAGCAGCTATACCCCCAGTGTTCAGAACCCAGAACAAAAGTTTTGGGTACGCAGTGCAGGCTGCGAGTGTATCAATATTTTGAATTATGTGCGTCAGGTCAGCCAAAAGCGGTGTGAAGATCCCGGCTCGCGAAGGTATTTCACGAAGTCCAACGTAGGAGTATATAATCCCGGCGAGGCAGCATGCTGTGTATAATGCAGAGGGCAGGTCAAGTAGGACATTCGATCCGGATCGTACCGTGTTTATCAGATGTACACCATCAACTTGAAACAGGTCATATGCACGTCGTTCGACATCATAAAAGCAGTCACTCAACTTCAGACTGTCCATTTCAGTGATATCAGCGCGATTGGCGGATTTGATGACCAAGGATAGCCGTTCAAGATCATGGATAATGGCGGAAAGACCACGGGTACCAGAAGGGTCTATTTGCAGTGACGAGATCTCGGCACACATGTTTGCGATTAATGGATCAACGGTATTTTGAACAGAGTCCGATGGCAGCGTAGTGGCTAGGATGTTGGGCGAATATGGAAAGCGTGGCTCCGTGTGCCGCGCGATGGCGCTGCTAAGATCTGCCCTACATGACGGTCGAAGACTCAATTCGTAAAGTTGGAGTATGGGCCTTACCAAAGTGCTTTTCTCCGAACAATTCCATCAAGCCCCAAAGCCACAAGTCCGCCCCGACGGTTTATTAGCTGCTCGAGAGCTACGATGTGAGCGCTTGCTGCTAGCGGGGAGGCATTGAGGATCTGCATCATGTTAATATGGAGAATGCTGCTCCAAAAGATAGATTATCACTTTACTTCAAGCAATGCAAGGCACGATATGGCAAGAATGGTGGAGTCGGTGTCCCTTAATGCTTGGTTATTTAGCCGATTGTTTATCACTTTGGTGACTTTGGTGTGGTGTCGAAATGCATCAACGCTGAACGTTTTGCCGCGAATAAGTGCAATATGAAGAGCCGAAATAATGAGCGTCACATGGAGAAGTGCATCGTTGGTGATGGCAAATCTTAGCCATTCAACCTTTGGGTTAACAGGTATGTTTGTGTAGTTGAATACGGCGCGGTCTGCTTAAGTTAGCCCAGCTTAAGCTCTCGCAGGTCTTGAGATGCAAAAAGCAGAAAGCAGTTCTAAAGAAAGCTCAGGAGTAAAGCCAAGGCCACACTTTCAGATATAGCATATTCTTGTTGCCGATGATGTATAGACGCAGATGGCAACTTACAATGAAATAGCAGATACTCGTCACGTTCGTTCAGCTGAAAAGGAAACCGTATGGTGCTGAATAAATCAACTGTGGGAGAGTTGGGTGTGTTGTATCCAACCGAAACAGCGCTATGCTCAAGCAAACGAAATTCTTCCGCCAACTCATCGTTTTCTAGCACATGCCCTAGTTTCAGTGGAAGTGGAACCCTCGGGATTATGAAGGAGGCGAATCCATTGCTCATTGAGTCGTTTGTAGCATTGACAGAACAGTTTGCTTTCTCAATCCGCAAAGTCTCTTCATGTACTATTTGTCTAGGGCTTTCAGGGGACGGGACCCTGTGAGTAGTCTTCGCTGCCTAAGACCGCTCAGGAGGCTATCCATAGACGTACTTGGCGGTAGACTTACCCGTATATCACGAGACAGTCGGTGGTATCGATTCATTATGTGGGAACGCGCCTTCTTTTGGGTAGATGGTTGTGAGAATTGCGAAGGACTGCTCATGTTAATAAATAACAGACTCTCAGGTGCAGAGGCCCTTGGAGGTGGGCCTGCCGCCTCAGAAACACCTGCTTTTGCATTCATGAGGCGAAAATAGCGTGAAGTGTTGTTATAGTTGTTGGTGCGGTCCAACAGCAATGGGTAGATTTTCAACCATAGCAGTTGCATTACTCAAACCAGGACGAAACAATAAGCAACGTCGACACAAAGTTTTTGGTAAATATTTAGCACGTGACTGGCACAAATTGTATTCGATTAATCAGCAGTGACGTTGGTATGCATAGTAGAGTCTGGTCTAGTTTACCAGCCACAAAGCTTGTTATTTGGGCACAGTGCATAATAGCTAACCTACACTAAGACTTGATGATAAACTCTTGGGCTTAATAGAAAAAAGGAAGAAGATGTTAGTGCTCTCCTGCAAACATTACTTATAGAGTCAGAGTAGTTGGAGACACGACACTAGCGCACGTGTACGGAAGGTCGGCAAGCTAACTAACATGATGTGTACGTGTTATTGAAAAGAGTAATTCAATTACTTGAGCAGATCCTATGTATCTCGATGCTAGGCCGATGCAACTAAGGATCATTCTTTGCTGTCCAGTTGATTGGCAAGTCAGGAAAGCCACAAGCTCAATCTCGCTGAATGTACCACCAGGAAGCCTGGTGGCATCAGACTTCTTCCAGTCACCAGCTTTGAGCGATGTGGCAAATTTGTCAGCACAGAGCGATGCGCACCTTCACCAGAGACTGAAGCCAAAAGGCAACAGTCGTTCCAGTGGCACCCGTTATCCAGATACAATTACAAAGCAGCAATGTACGTAGCTTGCAATACGTAGAGATTACCGAGCTGTCGTATATTGACCTTGGAAATGTAGTCCTAGTTCATGAGGCAAAGCTGTGGATTCCAATAGATTATCTGAATGCACAAGGAACATTTAATGACACCATCTCGCCCTCCTTCACGGTCCCCATTCATATACGGACAATTCCACAAATACCCAATCTTACCATATTAACCCAGACCATGACGCCATCCAAGAGACTGGTCGTAGTGCTGGGTGCGACAGGATCGCAAGGTGGTGCTGTCGTCGAGTACTTGCTCGCGCACTCCCCATCCCTTTTCCAAGTCAGGGCGGTGGTGCGGAATGCCGATTCTGAGAAGGCAAAGGCACTCGCAAAACTTGGGCAGAGCTATCCGAAGCAAACTTCGATGATGAGGATGCCTTGCGTCGAGCTCTACATGGAGCCGACGCGATATTCTGCCTCACAAATTTCTTCGACCAAAATTCGGTAGACTCTGAGCTGTACCGCGGGCTCAACATTGCAAAAGTCGCCTCGGAGATTCCAGAGCTGGAGAATTTTGTATTCAGTGCCCTCCCAGATGCGCGAGACTTGTTCGGGGGGGAATATCAGCGTAATCTGCCGTACAATGCGAAGTCGTATATCAAGGAAGGGATTCAAAAAGGATTCCCAGAACTGTGGAAGAAAACAACCGTACTCTATGTGGCGTACTATCATCAAAACTGGCTGAAGTACGCGGCAGTATTTGGACCGGCAAAGGTTGCAACGAATCAAGATGACATTTGTCCATGAGTTCCGTGCTAATGTTGATTGGTAGCAACCGGATGGGTCTTTCATTCTCAGAATGCCGCACCCTGGTAGCGACCCGGTTTCCATGGCTTCGTCCCTCGATACCGGCGCAGTTGTTGATGCCATACTGAGGGCTGAATCGAAGTACCACGGCCATACCGTAGCACTGGTTGCTGAGCGCCTGTCCGATGAAAAGAAACTTGCCATTTGGGCTGAAGGTGCGCATTTATATTAACAATCAAAAGTGGTTGGTAAACGAACTAACCATTATAAGCGTTGGGTGTCAAAGCTGTATACCAGCAGGTCACGCCAGCCGAGTACAAGAAGGGCCTGCAAGCTGCCGGCGTTCCAGTAGCACTTGCTCACGGGTTGACAGAACTGGCTGAAGTAATTGCTCGCAAGGAAGATTATGTTCAAGCCCCAGGTGTTATCAGGGGGGAAGATGTAAGTTACGCCAAATAACGATGGTGGCTCAATCGTTTTATCTCTTGAAGACTCCCACTCACAACTAAATCGACAGATTATCGAGAGGAACTACAAGCTGAAAACTTGGCAGCAGTACGTGAAAGAGGAAGACTGGTCCTCTTTACTGTAGAAACGGCACAGGAGAGTCTAAGAGTCATCTAGATTTCGTTTATTGTTGAACCGTATTCAAGACATCCCCAGCTGTAGAGAAGTGGCGGTTTAGTTGGTGGTCAATTTTTGGCGCTCACGCTTTTTTATGTCTATATACCTATTAACACCATGTGAGCCCAGCCAGCACACAGGGCAGATGGGCTTATTGAGCCGATGTACTACTTATTCTCCTCTCGCTATCTACCTGAATACATATGTTCTGTCTCTATGAGGGTGGTTATCAATTCCATTCTATCAATTTAGCGACGAAATTGAGTTGGGTTGACAGCTTACTTAGTATTTAGCTTATATAATTAAAAAAATTACTAAATATTGCCTGTTAATTAAGTTGATTATATTATGTTGAAAAAGTTAAACTACATAACCTTTATTACGAGCTTTACTATATTCTTCTTCTTCTTCTTTATTATAATATTACTTTTAACCTTTTTAAATATATTAATTAATAAGTTGATTACTTTAATTAGCCCGATTTAAATCTAAGATTTTAATATTTACGTAATCCTTATAATATTAGCTTTTAATTAGGTTTATCATAGCGATATTATTTGCTTATTAACGCTAAATAGCTATTTATACTCTATAAATATTACGGGACTAAGAGAAGGTTAATAGTTATTCGCGATAATCGAAGACAAGATAGACTCGAATTCACCTTGGCGGGCACTAGAGGGAGCCGGATGATTGTAACTCCATATACATAGCCTTCTTGGTTGGTGACGGTCGATGTCTCACCGGCTTACATGGAGCAAGTTCCGTGGCCGTGCTCAGTGTCACCCTGCTGGGTCTGCGGCAAGTCAGCAGCGTCCCAACCAACAACTGCGGCATACGAAAGTCAGAAACATGGAATCTCCTGGCGCTTTACCCCTTGCTGTCTAGCGACAGCATTGTCCCGAGTTTGACAGACCGTCTCTGTGTTACCGGCCCTCGGCATGTCAAGAGGACATGGGTCTTCTCGGCAAGAAAGCTACGTATGCGCACGTCCGCACCAGGGATAGATAGATTCGAGATAACCCTAACAATTGGTATCGGATGCACTATGGGGAGCTTTACAATATGTGCTATTCCATGCCTGATATCGACCTCTATCCCCAAGTCTCATTCTTGGGTGTAAATCCCCTCAAGTGAGCAAAGTTCAGCCACTGCTTCCCTTTCCACCATTACTCAACAAAACCTAATCATGTACTCTATTGCTGAGCTTGAGAATGCATTTCTACTGTTGATGAGCAACTCGCTGACCGACAAGTGGATGTTCAACCCAAACATCTGCATACATTCCTTGTCGGGCTAAGCGGGTTGTGACTTTCCGGTAGCTGCGCCTCGGCCCTAGACCGTCAACCGCAAGCGGATCATGCAAGCGGGGGGACCATGTGCCGTGATCAGGGTGTTTCGGACTTTGGCCATTGAGGCCAACATCCACGGAAGACGACTCTGTATAGGGCTGGGTCCCCTTTACCAACTGTAGCCTGTAACACGGAGTGAGAGGTGAAAACCCATATTCACGGGCCGCAATCGCACTAAATAAGACCCGGTAGACTTGCCTTTGGTTGGTATTTCTCATGGAACTGCACGTACGGTGCTAAGACCTACTTCCCTTGCAAGTTCATATTTAGTGTGTGGGGCGTTTATGTCCCAGCGTTTATACGAGGTGTTTTGTATACCCAAAGCCAAATAAACAACGCGACAACAAAGTTTCAGGTCGGCACAGAAAACTGCTGCCATGTCCACAGCCGGGGCGAGAAGACTGTCTACATCATCAGTTTCACTTCATCGTATCAGACCTTTCGCAGACCAACGTGGTCCAACCGCTTTCTCAGTTGGTCGTGCTCACGTTAGCAAGGCTGAGCAAGATATGCGCAAGACAGCGTCCAAAACTACTTTCTCCACTTTTCCCTGTTAGGTGAGCGTAGAACTGAAGACAAAGGACCCAGTACTGCGGTGTACCGGCCGCTCAGTTGCCGTCACAGGTGTGTTGAACCATAGACGTAGGATCGACAGGGTTGACCGCGTCTTCTATACACCGTCATGGCCAGATGAGGCAGTTGCGTTTGACACTCAACATGAGACAATTCTTGAGGAGATGACTATAACATCCAACTTCTGCCTTTCTGGTTGGTGTGAATAGGCCATCCTCCTTCATCCTTTTGCACTTCCCCCAAACCTCTCGAAATGCAACCTCGCAGAGTGTTTATCTTTGGGGACCAAACCGGTGGTTTTGCTACTGGCCTTCAACAGCTCTTGCTGGACAAGACTAATCCATCATTGGTGTCCTTCATTGAGCATGCCAACCTAGCGTTGAGACAAGAGCTGAGTCGTCTGCCCAGTATAGATCGGGAAACCCTGCCATTGATTGGTAGCGTCCAGGACATTCTAACACTACATCAAAAGGGGGAGAGAAATGTTGTAATTGATAGCGTACTGTCCACGGTTCATCATTTGGCCTGTTTCATCTAGTAGGTGTCGTGAAATCAAGTCCTTCCCAGAGACGGCTGTACTAACAAGCTCAGCAAATATGGCAACGCGGGATGCCGCTACCCCAATGGGCAAGATATCCATGTGGCGGGAATGTGCGTGGGCTCGTTGGCAGCAGCAGCAGTCAGTTGCTCCCGCTCCATAGGAGATCTAATAATAACTGGCATCGTTGCCATCCGGGCCGCCTTGAGAGTAGGCCAGCGGGCCCATCAGGCGGCCCTGCTCATCAGCAATAGAGCAGTACCTCCCACACATTGGTCGTACGCCGTTTCAACCGAGTCACTGCCGCTGGACTTGATAACCGATGCACTTGCAAAGTTTGCAGAAAACATGGTATAGTGTGGTGGTCAACAGCAAGAACGGAGAACAATTCGTTAACAGACTGTGACAGGATACCTCTCCTCTAAGTAATCCCTATATCAGCGCTATCGGTTTAGATTCAGTCACTATCAGCGGACCTCCAAGCCAACTGCATCAGTTTTGGCAAGAAAACACACCTTCACACAAACCAATCTCTATCCCCATCTGGGCTCCATATCATGGACCTCACATTTTTGGGGATATTGATATCGAAACCATTATAAAGAGTCTACATCCAATGCCCAAACTGTCCCAGCAGGCTCCTCTTGTCTCCAGCGGCAGTGGAGTGATAGCTTCACAGACTTTTGCCGACTTGATTCGGGCCGCGTTACGGGATATCCTTTTACATCGTCTCGACTTGCCGGCACTGGTGGGCCATCTGACTGGTATTTTCGGCTTATCCTCCAACGAATCCTTTGTAATAACTCCCGTCTCAACAAACGTAGCCACAGGCCTGGTTGCTGCCACGGCCAAAGCTGTAGGAAAAACGGGCAGTGTGGATAATGAAATAATGGAAGCTGTCGCACTTGCAGGAAGTCGAGGAACTTCAGCCAGAACACACGACTCAAAAATTGCCATAATTGGCATGTCGGGGAGATTTCCAGAGGCAGCAGACCTAGATTCCTTTTGGAGTCTTCTCGTGCAAGGAGTAGACGCTTATCGGCCAGTTGCTCCTGATCGATTTGACGCTCACGCACACTATGACGAAACCGGACGCCGCAAAAACACGAGTAAAGTATTGGGTGGGTGTTGGATAAACCAGCCTGGCCTCTTTGACCCCAAGTTTTTCAGCATATCGCCCAAGGAGGCCGAGCAGTCGGATCCCGCGCAGCGATTAGCTCTGCAGACTGCTTATGAGGCGCTGGAAATGGCCGGTATGGTTCCGGACAGGACACAGTCCACTCAACGCGAGAGAGTGGGAGTTTTCTACGGCATGGTGAGTGACGACTGGAGGGAGATAAACAGCGGGCAAAACATCGATACGTACTTTATTCCTGGTATGGCCCGACTCCCGTGTGATTATAATGCCGCTATGAGGCTCTGACAGTTTACCCAAGGGGGCATTCGTGCGTTTACTCCAGGCCGTATAAACTATCACTTCAAGTTCAGCGGACCTAGCATAACTGTCGACACGGCTTGCTCATCCAGTCTGGCTGCTATCCACGTAGCATGCAATTCTCTGTGGAGAGGTGACTGTGATACGGCGGTTGCAGGCGGAGTGAATGTTCTTACCAACCCGGACATTTTTGCTGGTTTGGATCGCGGACACTTTTTGTCGACAACCGGTGAGCAGCGTGGGAGATGTTTCGAGTTTGAGAAACTCGTGTCACTAACCCAAAGTCAGGCAACTGCAAGACATTTGATGACGATGCAGATGGATATTGCAGGGCCGACGGCGTCGGAACTGTAATTCTCAAGCGGCTCGAGGACGCCATCATGGACAAGGACCCGATCCTCGCTGTTCTCAACAGCGCCTACACAAATCACTCTGCGGAGGCAGTCTCCATTACTAGGCCTCACGCTGGAGCCCAAGAACTCATCTTCTCCAAGTTGCTCAGGGAAACCGGCATCCATCCCCATGATGTTAGCTACATTGAAATGCACGGGACAGGCACTCAGGCGGGTGATGCTACTGAGATGAGTTCTGTCCTGCGCACATTCGCCCCTGATACTGGCCGCTTGTCAAATCAAACTTTGCATCTTGGCTCAGCCAAATCCAATGTTGGACATGGTGAATCCGCTTCTGGTGTCACGTCACTTATCAAAGTTTTATTGATGATGAAGCATAACACCATTCCTCCTCACTGCGGGATCAAGGGCAGAATTAATCATCGATTCCCAACAGACCTCCGCGAACGCAACGTCTTTATCGCCTCGCAGCCGGTTGCGTGGGATAAGCCTCACTCAGGCTCCGGTAAACGACGCGTGTTTATTAACAACTTTTCTGCTGCGGGAGGAAACTCCGCTCTGTTGCTGGAAGACGCTCCTACCAGACAGCACCCTGAGACCAAAGATCCGAGATCAACTCACATCGTTGCTGTGTCGGCAAAGTCCTCGACCGCGCTAGTGAATAACTTGAAAAGGTTGAAGGTTTTTGTGCAAGATAATATACACAACTTGGATTTACTCGCCAAACTGTCCTACACAACCACGGCACGGAGGATACACTACCCGTTCCGAGCTGCAATCACCGCTTCGTCTAGTGACCAATTGCTCCAAGGCATCGAGTCTATTCTGCTTCGTGACGAGTCGACTAAACCAGCCACAAGTCAGAAGAATATAGGCTTCGTCTTTTCAGGACAGGGAGCACAGTACGCCGGCATGGGCCGGCATCTATTTCAGAACAATGAGACGTTCCGGACCCAAGTCTTGGCATGCAATCAGATTTGTCTCAGCCAGGGATTTCCGTCTATATTAGACATATTCAATCAAGGCGTGGAAATGAACAATCTCGAACCGCTCGTTGTCCAGCTCGGCACAACTTGCCTGCAAATGAGCCTGGTGTCATTTTGGAAATCCCTCGGTGTTACGCCAGACTTTTGCATTGGGCACAGCCTGGGTGAATATGCCGCGTTGCAAGCTGCAGGAGTTCTCTCCGTCAGCGACACAATCTATCTGACCGGCATCAGAGCACGGCTACTTCAGAAGAAATGCAGTGCTGGGAGCCACGCGATGCTTGCGGTCAGGGCACCTCTGGCACAGGTCCATGGGTTCTTCAACCCTAGCATCCACGAGGTGACTTGCCTAAACAGCCCTCATGATGTCGCTATAGGTGGCCTAGTTGCAGACATCGAAGATCTTGAAAGGGAGCTTGCTGAAAATAACATTGAGGCGGTGAAGGTCAGTGTGCCATTTGCCTTCCACTCGACGCAAGTAGAACCAATACTTGATGAATTTTGCGCAGCCGCGGAAAGCGTACAGTTCCAAACACAGCGTATACCAGTAATATCTACGCTGTTGGGTGAGGTCGTTCTACCAGAAGCTAAGGCTGTTTTCGGACCGGAATACCTCAAGAGGCACTGTAGGGAACCTGTCAACTTCACAGCTGCCGCCCAAGCTGGAAAGGACGCCAATATCATAAACTCTGCGTCAGTCTTCATAGAGATTGGACCTCACACAGTGTGCTCGGCTCTTTTGAAATCCAATATCGGTCCCAACGCAGTGACCTTGCCGTCACTACATCGCAAGGACGATGGTTGGAAGGTATTGGCTGACACGCTTGCTGGGCTATATCACTCTGGGTTGAGGATCAACTGGGATGAGTTCCACCGGGACTTTGAGTCCTGCCAAGAGGTCCTTCAACTTCCGAGTTACTGCTGGGACAACAAGAACTATTGGATCCAGTATGTTCATAACTGGACTTTGACAAAGGGTGATCCGCCAGCGACCACGGCCCAAACTCCTGCGCTCGAGCTCCCGGAAAATTCCACGAGTTCTGTCCAGAAAGTCATTCAGCAGACAGATGGCCCTGGGCCTTTTGTTACCATTGTGGTGCAATCTGACTTTGGGAGTCCTCGGCTAGCGGAAGTCGCTGAAGGACATAAGGTCAATGGGGAGATGCTCTGCACTTCGGTAGGTCTCCGAAACTCTTCCTCCCCTTCTCTTTTAGATATCTGCAGAATGTTACTGACATACTTGAACCATTGATGACAGTCCTTGTATGCTGAAATTGGAATGACTCTGGGGCGTCAGTTACTCGAAAAATATAGGCCCGATCTCCAAGGGTACAGCACGGAAATCGAGGACATGTCCGTCGACAAGCCGCTTATTCTCAAAGAGAAGAACAAAGAAACTCTCTTCAGAGCAGAGGTTGTTCATGACAAAAGCACCCTGACGGCAGCCATGTCTATTTATTCTGTTGACAGTGCCGGGAAGAAGACTGTGGATCACGCCCACTGCATTCTCCGTTTCGCAGATCCAAAGTCATGGCTCGACGAGTGGGAGCGCACCTACTATTCGATTGAAAGAAGCGTCCGCTGGCTTGAAGCGAGAGTGGAGCAGGGAACCGACAGCCTCCTTTCCAAAGGCATCGTATACAAGCTCTTCTCTTCGCTCGTTGACTACAGCCCCTCGTTTAAAGGCCTGCAGGAAGTCATTCTCAATAGCAGCGACAGAGAAGCCACGGCCAAGGTGAGGCTCCAGGCAGAAAAGGAAGACTTTGACTATAATCCAATGTGGATTGATAGTTTTGGCCAACTGACGGGCTTCCTCATGAATGGTCATGATTTCACGGAGAAAGACCAAGTGTTTATCAACCACGGTTGGAGGTCAATGCGATGTGCGAAGCAGTTCCGAAAGGACGCCGTTTACCGAACGTACATCTGCATGCAAAACGTGGACAAGACCAAGTACTGCGGAGATCTCTACATAATAGAAGACGGAGTTATAATTGCAGTGTTTGGGGGAATGACTGTAAGCACCAAACTACCCTGCATAGCAGATGTCTCCGGATACATGACATGTTTGTACTGACCTGCAGTAGTTCCTTGGGATGTCTCGTAGCCTATTAGACAAGGTACTGCCTCCCAGACGGGGTGCAGATGCAATCCACACGCCTAATCCTGTGGCTGCTGCTCCAGCAGGGTTGGTTGCGTCTACAAAAGCTCATGTGCGACGTCCGTTGGATATTCCAACTCGGGCCCAGCGTCAAGCTAGCTCCCCCCAGAGTGGTGCGATACATAGAATCCTGGTCATTTTAGCTGAGGAGGTTGGACTTTCTTTGGAGACCTTGACAGATGATTTGGTCTTTGCCGACTACGGTGTGGACTCTCTTCTTTCCCTTACTATTACGGGTCGAATACGAGAGGAACTTGACCTGGACGTGGACTCGTCCACGTTCACCAATTGCAGCACCCTGGGGGAGCTTAGACTGTTCCTCGCGGCGGACCAGAAGTTAGACGATGCCGTGGCTTGCGAGTCCAGCAATGGACAGCATACACCCCAAACCAGCGATAAAGGGTCTGGTACACTAACCGCCCAAAAGCCTGACCATGACACCGATTCAGAGATGACTCTAAATAGAGTATGCGCCATTATAGCCGAAGAGGTTGGAATATCGGTTGAAGAACTTTCAAGTAGCCAGGACTTTCAGGAGCTTGGAATAGACTCTCTGTCAGCGCTTACCATCCTGAGCCGCGTCCGGGAAGAACTGCAGCTCGATCTCGAATCAGACTTCTTTGACACTCATCCCTCTTTCTACTCTCTCCAAAAGACTTTAAGAGGAACAGAAGGGGCTTCGAATAGAACGCTGGAGCCCAATGGGGCGATTCCATCTCGCCATGATCTCAAGTCGGATCTGGGCAACATTGAGTGGCAGTCGGGCCAGAATATCGTCGCTTCAGCACCGCATGCGACGTCTATACTGGTCAGCGGCTCTCCATCTACGGCTAGAATGATATTAGTTTTATTCCCCGACGGCTCTGGTTCTGCCGCATCGTATGGCGCGTTGGCTCCTAAGATACGGAAGGACATTGCTGTGTATGCCCTCAACTGCCCCTGGCGCACGAATGGCGAAGAAATCCTCCGTCTAGGTGTCAGCTTGGACCAGATGGTCGCCAAGCACCTCATCGAAGTCCGTCGTATTCTCGATAACCATCAGCAGAGTCGCCTCAATGGCTCTATCGACTTGGCCCTCGGCGGTTGGTCAGCCGGAGGCATTCTCGCTATCGAGGGAGTGAGACAGCTACGTCAGACCGGCATCGTGGTACAGAAACTGGTCCTACTGGACGCTCCGAACCCCATTGGGCTCCAGAATCCGCCTCCTCGTATGTTCCACTTTTTGGATGAGTTGGGGATTCTTGGAGCCGGCACAGGGAAAGCCCCTACGTGGGTTCTCCAGCATTTTGATGCCATGGTCAACCTTCTCAAGTCGTACAGACCTCGACCCCTGAGTGCAGAATCTGCGCCCAAGTCTCTCATTGTGTACGCAAAGGACGGGGTCTGCAAAGACCCTAAAGGGCCACAGATGGACACAAAACCTGACGATGCGCGTGAGATGCTGTGGTTGCTATATGATCGCGTCGACTTCTCGGCCGAGGGCTGGAAGAGCTTAGTTGGGCAGCAGAATCTGGTTGTGGGCGTGGTCGAGGACGTTAACCACTTCTCTATGATGAACCCGGGACCAAAGATTATTGAGATGAGTAACTTGATTGGCGACTTCTTGCTTGGTCTGAACTAGTGTTCAGGTAATTGTCATGGTAGATTGATCGAGGTAGAGCGAGCTTGGTATAATTGGCAACTGTCATTACAGAAAACTAACCGTGGATGAGGAACATGTATGCACTGTCCTAAGAACCAAGTACTAGCTATTTCCGAGTAGAGTGAGAGGTTAGAGTATCTTTAGAAATAGAATAGAACTATCGTATTGTAACAGAGAGAAGGGCCCTCACAGCAATTCTCCTGCCAAACTTTACAATTATGAATGGCTTCCTTTTTTCCGACCGAGGAAAAACCTTTCCCTACTTAACATGCGATATATGTCTTTACCATGATCCGCCCAGAAATAACCTTTTAGTAAAGTACATGTAAATCTGACAAAGGTCTTCCATATCTTTACACTACCTTATTATACTATTCGTTCGCGTGTCGACCTCGGCTAAGCCGCAGTGGCAGAATACTCACGTTTTACGTATATCTATGCCGTAAGGAGAGAGAACCAGAATGCCTTGGCGCTATCTGCGTGTGCTTTTCATTCCCTCACGGCATTCCAACGAGCCGCCAGTTCAGGAGACTGAGCTGCCAGTCTCTGCCAGTCAAAGCCGCGCCTTGCAAATGCCGTCCAATTGAGAGGGTGTAATTGCACTTTCGCAACACAAACCCAAAATCGCATTGCTGTTTCTTGTCAAAATCTCATCATCACCTGCTCTGCGAAGAAGCAGCACGAAAAAATCGTCCAGTGTGGACTTCGGCGTTTGGAGTTCAGGACGCCACGTCTTGGCCAGAGACGTGAGCCTCAGAGGCCGGCTTCGTAATTTGAGACATTTTGTTGGCCTTTAGTTTCGATTGTAGCTAATATTAGCTTGGAAGATCAATATCAACGAAACTAGACTCGTTCAAAGCGCAATCTTGTCCCAGGTGATGCACCGTCGATCAAACCGCTTTCCGCCCTGCCGACGGAACGCTCGAGCAGGAGACTAGGGACTGTAACACGGTCTATATTCAACACATACACAAGTGGGTTGGCGTTCAAACATCTATTATGGCTCTGATACACTTGACGAAAGCGATTCAGCATTTCTCTGAATATGCAATGTCCGTGGTTTACCGATCCATAGTTGGTTTCAGTTTCCCGCTGCAGTCGTCGATGATGGCGTAACCAGAGAGCTATAATGGCCAAGCTGATTCATAATCCCCTTCTGCCTGCTTACCCATTTACGTCTTTAAAAGACTGGCCGTCTCTCCATGTACAAGATTGTCTGTAACTATTGTATTCTGTGCATTTTGCAAGTATAGAAATGGCATCCACTGAGGAAATACCACGCTCCCTGGCCGGCAAGGTGGCATTGATCACTGGGGCCGGCCGCGGAATCGGAAAAGGCATTGCAATTGAGTTGGCTAAACGCGGTGCCTCGGTTATCGTCAACTACAACAGTGCTGATAAGCCAGCGCAGGAGGTTGTCGACGAGATTGCGAAGACGGGCAGCCGTGCCATAGCAATCAAGGCGGATATTACCAAGGTACCCGAGGTTTCCCGCCTCTTTCAGGAAGCGCTCCAACACTTCGGCCACCTTGACATTGTGGTTTCGAACTCTGGTACAGAGGTTTTCAAACCAGAGGAAGAGGTCACGGAAGAGGACTATGACCGCGTCTTCAACCTCAATACCCGAGCGCAGTTCTTCGTCGCCCAGCACGCCTACATCCATCTTCGCAACGGAGGCCGCATAATTCTGATGTCGTCTGTTGCCGCAAACATGTCGGGGATTCCCAACCATGCGCTGTACGCTGGAAGCAAGGCCGCTGTTGAAGGTTTTACCCGGAGTTTCGCAGTTGACGCCGGTCATAAGAAAATCACTGTCAATGCTATCGCCCCCGGTGGCGTCAAGACAGACATGTACGATGCGTAAGTACTGTGAGGAATTAGTGAGAGCAAGAACAATTGCTGATGGATTTTTCCAGGAACGCGTGGCACTACGTACCAGGTGGCAAGCCAGGCATGCCCATGGAAGAGATTGACAAAGGCCTAGCAGCTTTTTGCCCACTTGAGAGAGTTGCAGTGCCTCAAGACATTGGGCGTGTGGTCGCTTTTCTTGCTCATCCTGATAGCGAGTGGGTGAATGGTATGTTTCCTTGACTCGAAAATGTTGAGAAATGTCGCTAAACTTTCACAGGCCAAATTATCCTCCTTACTGGAGGCTCCATCACCTAAACAAAGGAGTCGATACGTCGCGAAACATAAACGGTGAGATCTGTTGTGTTTTGCTGGCGTTGGCTTTCCACGCTGTGAACGCATTTCATGAGGAGGGTCCCGTTGGCATCTCTGGGGACTACTTGGTTTGAAATTTCATGTGGTCCAGAGTCGCTGGCTTTAGCCCTTTGTTGAACAAAGAGGGCCGATATCTAGTATAGTTCAATTGAAAGATTCCAGAATGACAATTACAAACTAGAAGAGCTGTTGAGTTGCAAGAGTATGCTGCGAAATTGTCCACATTTATATCGTCTTGAGAAGACAACGTTTTGCGAATATGAGACCCGCTGTCTATTACACTCCGCCTCCCTTCGCACCATGGCTCATTCTTCGTGCATTTGAATGGTGCTCAAGTATCCACATGTCTGGCCAAGCTGATTAGCAGCATGAAAGAGCAAGAGCAGTGAACATGACATGGAACGGCAGCTACATGCAGTTGAACCGTTTAACTTGCGGGGTCAAAACGCATCTCAAATCCAATGACAGCCTACATCAAAGCGGAATGGCGAGGAGAGCAGTTTGGTTGCTAGAATTCTAGGGAACATGTAATGGAAATGTAACGCGTTGTGGGAATCTCACTCACTGCGAGTGACAGAATAAAGACTAGACTTCGTTGTTGGAAGTTGATATCATACATACATGTAAGCCAGCTTATTATACAACCAGAGACTTATCTTTTATTTGCTACCAAACTTCTATAAGCTCTTACTCACGTAGCTACGAATGTTTCTCCGACTGTGTGTAGGAGCCCTTGAAGACCTCTTCAAACTTATGTTCGTTCCATCGCACCTCTGGCTTTAAACCTGCAAATTTCCAAACCCCATCACTCTTGACGTAGTAGTGCTCGTTCGTAGCATGGCTATGTCCGCGCAGCTTGACCGTCTTCAGATCTGGGCTTGTGTAGACCTGATGCGCAGCTCTCAACTGATGATGCCCAACTACTTTGGACTCAGAAACTCGCTCCCAAGATGTTGCGCCAATCAGATGCTGTGTCTTGACACACAGATCGCCAAGGAAGTCATCATTAGAAACCATGGCCATGAAGTCGTCAGCGGACATGGCTTCCCATTTCCCCTTCCCAATCTTGGTGTAGTCAACGTAGAGTGTTGGTGCGAGGATGCCGCGCAATCGATCCCAGTCCTGGAATAAAAGCCTATGTTAGCAGATTTCGAGACTCCTTATTGTTTTATGGAATGCCTTCTTGCCTTAGCGTCGTAGCTATCTGCCCATTCAAAAATGATTGCACTCAGGTCGAGGTAGTCTGGTGAATGTTATTAGCGCCTCTTTCGTCTAGGAGTTGAATAAGCTCGCACCCTCGAAAGATATAGCCTTCGGCGGCCCTGTTTTACCGTCCGATTGGGTCATATTGTGAATAATCGTACGTATTGATCGATAATTAGGGACAGTATAGGGAGCAGAAAGCCTCAATTGTATATCGAGAGAGCAATACGGGCTTCTGACAATTCTACATCATGGATATGGTAGTAATATAGCAAATATTTCATATGTTATGGCTGTGTTGCCCTGTACTCTGCAGTCTAGTTGGTGTAAGCCGCACAGACAAACGCCAGCGCCATTTCTCCATTATTGTCATGGGTATGGGACAATGAAATAAGTTTGCGACAATAGCCCCTGTCCGAGTGGTAGTTTTACATTTTAGTTTCAGGTAGTAGATAAATATCAATGAAATGTAGCCGACAGATGACGCGTTCCGGCGGCGCAGCGTATTGGCTCAGGCTACATCCGCGGACGCGACACATCAAGTCCTCATATTCAGAAAGTGGCCATTTTTAGCTCAAGATGATGAAGGGAACGAGGGGACAGGTTTAAGCTGGCCGACCGGTCGCCGAACCGCCGTCGCCTTTTATCGCGCAAACTGTAGGAAGTATATTCGCAATTTCCGATGAGACTGTGCAAAGCTGACCTAACAATAGTTGTGCACGGTCAGCCAACCCCTTGTCAAAGGAAGCTCTAACTCTCCGTACCTAATCTCTCAAGACTAGTAAACAAAATGCTGGTTTGCTTCCTCTTAAGGATACAGTAGCATATTAATTAATATCTATAGAACATAGCGTAATGCTTACGCCAACCACAGCTTTTCCTAGGGTCTCATCCCCAGCTTCCAGCACATACATTCTGTTGAGAAAAAGGCCAGTTTAAATAGTGAGAGACCTCGTGACACCGTTTTTCATGAAAGCCATAAATATAGACCTGGCGTTTTGAATGAGTTTGTGCGGTGATTGCGTCTGCTTCCCCCGTCAATAACGCCTCCTAAAGATATGTTTTACTAGGCAATCATGCCAGATAATCTTTATCACATCTCCTACACGTGGCGATTGGAAAAAAGAAAAATCAAAAGATCTATTTCCTATACGTCTAGTCGAAGTATGAGTATGTTCTAGTATAGTCCAGCGCTATCTAAATGCTCTACCGATGGAATACGCTAGTACATGTCTTTTCGTAGATAGGTTCCGTCATACGATACTTGAAACCAAATATCCGGTACCGCCCCCTTGAAGTGATGCGGCTCATCACCTCATCGCCATCATCTCGCACAAAATATCGCCTCATGAGAATTTCTCCACCCTCAATTCCCGCCCCAATCTTTAGCACCTTCAGTATCCCAGCAGCAACCATGTCTTCCGCCAGCTTTGCAATGAGCACATCGCATCCTTTCGCAGCGACAACGTTGATCGTAACAGGGAGATACTCGGTGTGATTCGTAATGGAACTAAATGCGGGAACCTGACCAAGCGGGAAGACACTATCCGGCGTCTCGGCAAATACGGATATCTGGCCGTTGGAAAAGCCAAACGGCGGCACCGGGGGATTGATATATCCGTTGCGACTGATAAAACCAGCTGAGCCATCGACATGGAGAAGAAGGCCGGATGAACAGGTTAGGGGATCAGAGCTTCGCGGGAGGATATTTTCGTTGAACCAGTTCATGAAAAGCGTCTTATTTCGGGACAAAATGGAACTTGGCTGAGAATCTCCCCAGCTCCAGCGAGACAATGGACTGGGTTGACAGAAGAAGGCGGCCGTCATGAACAGCTAAAGGGGCTTGGTTAGGGTCTTTTATCATACAAATGATAATTTGGTTTCCATCTACCAGCATAATCACGATAAAATGGTTCTCGGACAAGCCTCGACTGATCTTTGGAAATAATCGCCGCGTAGGTGGTATTGATCAGTTGCGAAAGGCCCCGGTCACCGGCCGATATTGGCCTAGTCCTCTCCCACTCCTTGTTCAAATCTAAAGCAGTGGGCGTAGTATCGAGGAATTTGGCCAATTTGGTGACAAAGTTTTGCAATATGGGGGCGTGAGAGGTATTTCCAGCGGGGAAGTCCAACAGGTACAGCTTTTAGGATATCTTGGCGTCTGATCTCCGAAAAATGTGTACTTTTCCCGGTATAACGCAGCATTCGCGGCATTCCAAAGGTAGGGATCACGGGCCAAGAATCCAGGCGTGTCCAGTTTGGGTGACAGCGGCATGGCATTGTCGAGGCTGATGAGGCCGTGAGAAGGACGATTTCCGAAAATGCCCTGGACGGCGGCTGGTCCTCGGATTGAGCCACCAGTGTCGCTCCCAGCAGCCAGATCTAGCCACTCGTACGATGCTATTGATGAGCCGGCACCTGCAGACGATGTAGCTGGATCCTGATATCCGTCTCCTCGAGGGTTGAATGGAGAATGATAGTCTACCCAGTCCGCAGTTGCTGTCTCTCCGTTGGCAAACTGTGATGTCTTTTGAACGCCAAAAATAATGGCCCCTTTGTCTGTAAGGTTTTGCATCGCAGTGCCTGTATTAATGGCCGCTGGGTATAAATGCTACCACAAACGGTTGCCGCAGCCCTTTTTGACTCAAGCCAGAGAAAAGATGTCCTTTACTCCGACACGGACGCCAGCTAAAGGCTAAGCTTTGGTTTTAGTAAAGTACAGGCGAGAGGGGACACCGATTGTTATTAAAGCGGCTGCTGGTACCTGCGCTGACAGTGTCTGGAAGCAGCCATCGGGTCGTTGTGGCAGCGACTGGGTGAACGCGCCGATAAAGTCATCATAAAACCGGTAGGCTGGGTGTACCTCTCCAGTATGAATATTGAGGAAATGTAGGCCAGAGAGTATCTTATGAGTGACTTGTAGCCCGATTACAGAAGACGAGACTCCATCAAGCTAGTTCTTGTTCTTGTTCGTATACTTATCGAAGTTGGAGACAAAGATGGTTTCGACAAATGCGGGTTACCAAACATCGTCCACGGTAGACCAATTTTGAAACAAGCTTTGCAGAGTTGACTCGGTGTATAAATCACCGGATATCACGGTTGCCGGGGCAAATCCAAGTTTATTTTGGCGAGTATTGGTAGCAACCGTGCCATTGGGCCATTAGCAACCTTGCCCTGTGAGAAAGGCGAAATGAAATAATTGATGCCATTCAATTGTAACGAAGCCCCGGCCGCTACCAAGGAACATGCAGCAGTAGCCGCGAGAGAGGGGAACAGAAACGTCTGGTTCCAAACCATCCTGGCTAATCAGTGGCCAGCCGTGTCGATCACAGTTGCCCCATAACTTTGGAAGAGAGCGATGCGGCATTTGAATACTTCTTTACAGCCGCGTCTTTGTCAACCAATCGTAGGTAGTACATGGTCATTTAGTAAGTCTAGCTGCAATTCCGAGGCCATGTTGTACGTCTGGCTTTCCAACCATTCACCGAGTTGCGAGTTGGTTCTCAGAATAAGACAATAGCCACCTTTGTGGAGAATTCGGCGCTATGCGTTGGCATTGCTAGACCGCGCTTTCGGTAGTCAAATCATGCTCTCGGCAGTATATCACGACAAGCAAGAATTAGCCTTGTTGTACATAATTTACGCACTTGGCACTACAATGCTACACAGCCGCATACCCATGACGACTGGCTCGGAAGAGTGTTGTTGGTGAACAATGATGTTGCTACTAGTCTGCCTTTGGTATAGGATCTGCTATTAATGAGGAAACAGTCTTGGAGATGCCTCTCAGCTGAAGTGATGCGCATAGCGAGAATCTTCATGGCGGCGTGTCACCATTCAGCCCATATTACGGAGGATTTTAGTACTTCTCCTCAAGGCTTCGATGCCGGCTGAATCAAAATGGTCTCTTGGGTTACGCAAGCTGGGGTGCTGGGGTCAAGCCTCTGGTGTCCGTTGAGGTTCACCGAGATGCAGTGAAGAGTCATTGTGTTCTGAACTAGGACTTGTTAGCGCGGTTCGTGAAACTAGACGAGTAATATTGTTCCAAAATATTACGTTAAAGACAAGACTGCATGACTCTAGATGTCCTTGCTTTTCCGAAAATGCTCTTCGAAAAGTCTGTTGTCAACAACAAACTCAAGAACCCTGTATACCATCTTGCCCATCAACCAAACGTGTGAAATTTTCCTGGTCACCTGCATGCAGCTGTGCAGCCGGTCTTGTGCGGCTCGTCTGACACATAATTCCGGTGACCTCATCTGATATAGGTGCATGACGAATGCCGAGAATAGCGTATGTACAATGTAAGCAGGGCAGTGCCGTAGATGGTCTTGCTCCGCCAGGTCCTTGACAATCAATGATATCATTGCCGCAGCGTGGAATGCCATCTCCCTGGAAGGGTGGTTCCGAGAATTGTGAAGCTTGGTCTCTGAGCTGCCGGTGGACAAGGGAAATCTATGAACCATGCATACTGCGGTGTAATAGTTTAGGTGAATGAGTGACGCCCAAAAGTTCTGTCGGTGCCTAGGCCAGAGCAAAATGTCGGGACAATTCTGGAGCCAGTCGGCGAGACATCTGTCTATGCGAAGCACCTCGGGCATGTTCTGTTGACCTGTAGGCAGTGTTGAATATAGCGACGACTGAATTCGGCCCATGATCTTCGATAACTCGACATACCGCAGGAAGAAGTGTACGTGGACCGGATCGGGCGTGTAGGTGTGGACAGCAAATCTCTCGTAGTCTTCGTCCTCGTCGATGAAATCATCGTGCTGCAGAGTCTCGACGTCGCAATCGTCCAGGTTTATCATAAGCGGACGCCCAAAGGCAACAGCAATTGAACGGTCGCGAGTAACTAGCGTCCACCAAATCCGTTTCCACAGCTTCTTGTCGGCATTGCTCAGGCGCGATGCTTGAACGCTTCGATGCATACCTGTATCTTGAGCAACAATAATCGCCACGCGACCCCAATAGTACATGTTTTTTACGACATGATCTGCACCATCCCAGTGCCATCCAATTAGGATCAGTGACTGTACGACAGTCACTCGATCAGTTTCAAAATTGGCATCGTAAAGCGCCCTGGCTCTTTTGTAAAAAGTACATGATGCAGGGACTGTAGATCCATTCGAGTCTGTCAATAACGGATTGTTTGATACGCGTGATGCGGCCAAGATGACGGCCTGGAGAAGGAGAAGTGACGGCGGGTTATTACGATCGCAATACTGTCTCATAAAGCGCGCTTTATTCAGGATAGGAACGACGGGGTGCATCCATTCAAAATATGAATCGACAAGGTCATCGCAGAGAGACTTTGGTGGCAACATCAAAGCTCCTTTCCGAATCAGGATTTCGACTTCGATTCTGTCCAACTTCTCAAGTCTGTTGCTGATAGGGATACTGTTGGTTGCAGAAGAATACCCTAATTGTTCAGGGAAGCTCTCATGTCCTAGTAAGCCAATGCTGCAGGACTCGCCGAGGTATGCAAGTCGGTGGGTAGCGGTGACTGGTTCGCGGAAGATGCCAGGCTCTACAAGCAGGTTCATATAGGTTCTGTCGTCAACTGAGGGCATGGAGTCTTTTGGAGTCGATGGCGCCTGTGTTGGAGGCGATGTCATCACGGTTACAGGTAGTCTGGCTCTTTCAACGACAGATCTGACGAAGGTTAGCCAACATTCGCACGTGGATTGAGCTAGTAGCCACCCAGCATACTTCTTCTTGATCTTATCCGTGATTCTCCTCGCGCACTGGGGCGTTGGTGCAGTTCTTTTGGCAACGTGACACTCCATCCCAGAAGCGAGGCACCTTGCGCATGGCGTTCCTGGCTTGTCCCGACTACATCGAATCTGACATTGTCAGTCCTTTCGGCTCGTTGAATTGAGTTTGAATGATGCTGATTTACCTTTAACGCTTTACATGTCTGTGGAAGGAGTTGTGTCGTCAGTTAGCCCTCTGAATCATGATACAAACCGGAGACCACTAACCTCACATGCGGCGGATGAGCGCGGCCTAAATGAATTTTGTCAGCCACTACCTTTACTAATACATTAAAGTGAGCTGTACTAGTCACACGTACATCCTATAATGAGATTGTTCTCCGGGTGTTACTGCAACACCTTTGGAAGATGGATGCTGGATTCTGGGGGTGGATGACGCAGTTCCGCCAGCGAGGCAACCATCAGTGGACGGGATTTTGGGGAGAAGACATGTGGCGCAAGAGACGGCTAGCTCATTCGTCGCCGGAAGCAAAGCAATCTGAAGATGACGAGAGCCTAGCTAGGGCCTTACATCGGGCTTCGGATGAGTTTTGTCTCTTCTGGACAATGATGATGGATGGCATTTGTCAAAAAAAAGATTATTGAGCCGCTTGCTTCAACCTTCGTTCATCATCATCGAGGAAATCGAACCTAAAGAACATTGCGCCACACGCCGTCTTCCCCTTAAGGGAGAGTTTGGTGTTGACCCTCGGCATCTGGCAAACGTCAAAGACATCCGATTGGCCGGTGCCGCTTCGCGTTGGGTTGTAGCCAGGCCCGAGACTAGCGTATCCATTCCAGGTATAGTGTTATGATAGCCCCCTTCAGAACGCCATCGGCATCATCTGTAGTTCCAGATACGTCTAGCTGTATAACAAGCGGCAGCAGGGACGCAACAGTCCTTAGTCGGAGGCGTGCTCCCTGAGTTCTGGATGTTGTCAAAGACCATCCGTGAGAAACTACCACGGGCCTAAATGTGACACATCGCAAGCTCACTAGGTGTACCATATGAGGAATCTACAGTAATATACACACGACCTAGCTATGAGAGAGAAATCAGGTATAAAAGAGGGACTCTAAAGTTCGTGTTAAGTGGGAGTTTAAGATGCTAATACAATTATACAATTACTTCTATGATCCTACCTAGTAGCTACATAACAAGGCTCTTTGTATGAACTTAATAGTCACTCTGTCACTAATTCCCAGTCCTGACATTTGACATGTCATATCACAAGATGCGTTCAGAGACTGCGTAGAACCAAGGGACGGCCTCTATAGTTCAATGCTATTTTCTACTAATGAAACGTAGAAATCGGTCTAGAGATATTAAGTTATACACTTAATTAAATCCTATTTCTTTGGTATTAAGCTCCTTTCTTCTTACCTCTCTCTTTCGCTCTCTGTCCCTCTTTGTTTTACTTCAGTCGTTTTTTTTTTTCCTTTTTTTCTCACACGTTCTGAAACCTCGCGTACTCCTGTGTCCATGTGCATTAGCTCACTTTCCTATACATCTTCAATATATACTTTATCAAATCAGCTTTCTAGTAAGAAATCAAGATTTCAAGAAAGGGGGCGTGTATTTGGCATGATTAGATACCCAGCTAGCACGTGCTGTGACCTAATGTTGGTATAATCTATTGATGTATACAAGGTGCGTGATCCTTCGGGTATGCCTTTCTACCTTGGCTAATTGTGTTGCTGGCTATGGCGCTGGTCAACGCAAGCACCATCAGGTTCGGGACCATTTCACAAGTGAGCGCCCAGAAAGAATACCTTACCTCTGTCGTTGCAAGCTTCCAAGAAGTTGTAGCTGTTATGGCAAGAGCTCGTAGAGTGCTTGGAGCAATAGCTTAATTCAGCTAACAAAAGTCTTTGGTATTAAAGGTCCTTGGTTTTCCGAAAGGTCCTGAGGGACCGGAGGTCTCTATAAATACAAGAAGTCGGCGAGTGTTGTGCCATAGGCCCTGTGATCGTAGCTCTTATGTAACCCTGTGACAGTTGTCCCTACTGACTGGCACCGACTTCGTCAAGGTCAAGCCCATAGCAGTCCTCGTCGGAACACCCAGAATTCTACAACCTAGAGCTGGATAGAGTGTAGACCTGCAAAATTCTGCCTGTAATAATAGATTATCATGTATTAGATAAAACGATCGCAATACATAGCGCGGCTCTCTAGCAGAAATTTGTCGGATAATAGAGGATTCCACTGAGAAGATACGATGGGAGTACTTGCTATGCTAGAGAGGATTCCTTAAAAAGATAACCCTAATGCATCTTGTTCCATGTCCGTCAGTATGATAATAATGACCCGCATTTATGATCTACATGGACATTCCGTTCACGCTAGGACACCCTGGCTTCGATCCCAGGAGCATGAGTTGCATGATCATGCAACGTTTTCTATTGTGTCGACCAGCCGACTGGTACCTTAAAAAACAATATGCGGCCTTAGTTTACAAAGGCGAGTCCCCAATAAATTTCCCTTCTCCTCTGACTCCATTTCTTGAGTCTTTTATGCGCAAACTGCGACAGCAATTAGGCTCCCACAGAGCACGTAATGGCGCTTTGAGAGACACTGACTCGCCAGCTACTGCCTTTGATAGAGCGTGTCGAGCGAGGATTTGTATATTGAGCAGAAAAAGATGAGGTAAATCAAAGGTGGTATGACCCAAAAGCCCTCTGTCTCTCCGTACGGAGCTTATCATGTGGTCAGGTCCTATTCCTAGTCGCTTCACAAGGCTCAATTTAGAGTCAGGCCTGCCAAGTAGATCCCTCAAGAGCTACCCCACCTGACTGAGTCTGTCTTTGTCCGATGATGCACAAACTGTTACCGTTTCTGTCTCAGGTTGTGGGCGTCCACTTAAGAGTGGCAGTGCAGATAGACACAGGGTTGGTCACCATGCCTTGATAGCAAGGTATTGATACCTATCACAGAAAGAACGCGCTCCAACTGAACAGCAACTATCCCCCCTTATATTCCGTTGACAATACCACGTGCGAAACGCAATGTTGGACGGAGTAGTCAGTGCTGAATATTCAGTCACTCCAATAATGCACTCAGTAATCAACTGGTTGCTCAAGCCGGCTAGGAATGCTTAGGTGAATTAGAACCAAGGTTCCCTTGTTCATGTCTGTCTGCCTTGTTCGTGCAGAAGTCCCATGACTCAATTTTGGGAAGGAGATGTCAGCATTGAAACGGCCCCAGCCACACTGGCGGAATAACGCGTTCGCAAATAGAGCATGTCAGCTGATCCGCCTGACTACAGACACAGTAAAACAATTACCGCATGGCTGTGCGTGGAATAGAGCAGTTGGCGCATATGCCTGGGGGAATGGATAAGAGTAGCCACCGGTGGTTCTCTAAGAGAAGTAGGCTACTGAAAACCAGCCAGAAGATATTCATATCACTCAAGTATGGCTATTCCACCCATATTGTATCTGCAAATAGAGAGAAAAGTTGGAATATACGGTAGACGAGATACGGTACTGATCCATAGCCAATGTTGTGATATTGTGGAGGTTGGACTTTTTTCGCGCATCCGCGTAGAATAATGCGCATAAAATAAGCATCCTTTCGGCTGTTTCAAAAGTCTTCAGCTCTGAATTAAAGTGGTTCCATATGGTTATCTCTCCGTATGCAAAATCTATCCGGCTCACGACACTGAATAGTAGCCTTACATAGCCTAGACCCGAGATGCCTGTATCAAGGATTTGACTTTAAAAAGCCCAATGTTCTCCCTCTCAATTTTGATATTCAGTCCTCACAGGCCACCGGATCACCCTTCTATCAAGTTTTGAATCAGCATCTTGGGTTAGCAACAATGGGACACATCCTGGTTCTTGCCGCATGTGCCTTCGCGGCCATCACGGCCTCATCAATCCCCGACCGCCCGTCTACTTTGCCCATGACTTTGCCAATCCTTGAACGCTCAGAGCAACCCATCACATGTCTCAATGGGATAAGGCGCTCCGCTGATGCCTCGAATGGAAAACGCGGAATAGAAGCCAACTGTGGTAGAAACCAACGCGATGTTACTAGAGCGTTCGCTTCGTGCGCCACCAAGGCACAAAAGGGCCGGGAAGCTGCCCTCAAAGGGGGACAGTTGATGAAAATTCTATTCAAAAGAGATGACGAGGCCACCCGCAAGCGAGTTGCAGACCACTTCGAACAGATTGCGAGTCAATGCGGCGCAAGGGAGAAGAGTGGTGTCTCTGTCAACTGTGGGCAGTGTGAACAAGGCATCGCAGGAAAGGCATATAAAGGAACTGGCCCAATTACGCTTTGCAGCGTAGCCTTGAAGGACACGCAGAGCACGACAGACTGTGGTGGTCAGGACCTTGACGACGTACTTTTACACGAGATGTCCCACGTCTTGGGAAGTACGGACGATATTGGATATGGCTTGGAAGCTTGTAAGCAGCTTGATGCTCAGAGAAGCCTTCAGAACGCGGATAGTTATACAAAGTTTGCTCGGGCCGCTACATTGAACTGCGATGTTGGGGGCCCTGGAGGTCCCGGAAGTGGTGGCCCTGGAGGTCCCGGAAGTGGTGGCCCTGGTGGCCCTGGTGGTCCTGGAAGTGGTGGTCCGGGTGGTGATGGTGGTGACGGAGGGGATGGAAGCGGCCCCCCTTCATTCCCGCCCGGCACTGGTGGTCCCGGGAGACCCGGCAGACCAGGAGGTCCCGGCGGTCCCGGAAGTCCCGGGGGTCCCGGAGGTCCTGGAGGTCCTGGGGGTCCTGGAGGTCCTGGAAGTGGTGGCCCCGGTGGCCCTGGCGGCCCTGGTGGTGGTGATGGGACTTCATTCCCTCCTGGCACTGGCGGTCCTGGTAAGCCCGGTAAACCTGGTAGGCCTGGAAGCGGTGGCCCTGGAAGCGGTGGCCCTGGAACTGGTGGCCCTGGAACTGGTGGTCCTGGAACTGGTGCTCCCGGAACTGGTGGTCCTGGAACTGGTGGTCCTGGTGGCCCGTCCTTCCCTCCTTTTGATGACGGCAATGGTATTGATGATGGAAGTAACCCCTTCCCTTTCCCTCCTAACACTGGTGGTCCTGGTGGTCCTGGTGGCAATTTTGGGCCCGGAAGCGGTCAACCTCCTTTCCCTCCATTTGACGACGGCAATGGCCTTGATGGTGGCGATGGCGCTGATGGAAGTTTCTTCCCTCCGTCTGGCAATTTCCCCCCTCAGAACTTCCCTCCTCCTGGCGGGCTCTCTCCCTTCAATGCCCCTGTTGCCCCCCAAACTTTGCCTGTTCAAGGTTTTGATCATGTTGAGAGTTCATAAACACCAACATTAGGTTTGAGATTATAGTTGAAACCTTTCTGGAAAGGTTGGTTCGCATAAAGGGATGCTGGAGTTGGAAATAGTTATTTTTTATACAAAGAGCCATTATCCAATCAATCACGGCCAGATTTAGAAGAAATCTCTCTTGCTGTCGGAGAGTCAGTGAGTGCAGCGTTTTTCGTGGAAGCAGTCCGGCTCATACTTGGGTTCTAAGTGACATGATATCTTCAACACGTCAAATTCTTCCGGGTCAACAGATTATTCTCTCCAACGCACCCGCTCACATGCCAGATATAAGCTTCCCCAAGATCTCGTATGAAGGCAATATATATCATTACTTTGCACGGCTCTCGGTGTGACTTGGCTAAAGGGAGATCTATGTCGGCTTTTCCATGGCCAGCAAGCAAGAGCGCCCTTCCGAATACCAAGGCCTAGTGCAATGGCGGCTACACCCGGTCCGCGAGAAAAGGAACTCGGGCTTTCGCTCGGTTACGAACTGATTGATGGGCCCTCTATGGCACATCAACTCCAGGTATTTCATGCAACTCTACCTCAATGCCAGCAGTGGTCCATTCAGAGTTGTCCCCGTCATATATCAAACGCCTATACCTACTTCTCCATGTTATATGGGGCTTGCGTCAACGTATTCCAGCTTCCACGGTCGCATAAGTGCCAAGCTATAAATCTGCTGTTGATGCCTTCTCTTTAACTGCGAAATTGTTACTTTTTCGCGTGACAGGGATTTCAACCAGTCCGACCTGTTACATAGGGAAATGAGGGGTAATAACTACTACTGGGGACTCTTTGGGCAGAAATCTTAGAGAAGAACACCAATCAATATAACTAATGCCCCAAATTATCATACAGACCGCCCAACTCTTCATTTGCTACCATTCGATACGACTAATGCTACTAGTTCCAGCAGCTTTTTAGCTTTGTACTAGTATGTAATAGTAGCTGCAAATAACGTAGTTACCCTCCGTTTTACGAGTTCATTTAAACTAAGTTACTTACATCAATTTACGTGAGTTGGGGAGAAACCTCGTAGATACTCTTCTTTATACTAGGTGGCCAAGGAAAAGGAGGCTTTAATATGTATACTATATTAAACACGGAATCACTACGTATAAATATATATATGTACGTTCACATATATATTCAAGCCTAGGGTACGATTCATTCATCATCCGGCTCGGCTCCATCCCTAACGTGGAGTCCCACGAGGCGATAAATTCTTCTTATTACAGTCAAGTACCTACATGAGCAGTTCACCACTTACCTGCCCGATGATCCGTACATACCCAGCCTACCCTTTCTATTACTACGCAGTATGTACTATTAGAGAGAGTGGCCCCTGAGTCTACCCGACCCAACCCGAGTACGAGGGTCAGCTCTGCAAAATTAAACCACGGAGCGCGTAAGCTAGTATTCAATATAGGAGTAGTAATCAGATGATACACACTTGTCGTTAATACTCAGCCATTTTTGCTCGGAGCTTTTTGTGACAAGGGCTCGTTAGAGGGCTTGAAGCAAGAGCGCTCAATTCAATGATAGTCTTGTAGGATGTCAAAGGTCCTTGGTTTCTCCAAGCCAGAAGGCGAGGGGAGACCATCTTATATACATGAAAGGAACGGCCCGTGCCTAGTGTGCCCCATAGTTCTCGTGATTTCCTTGTGTAATAAAGGGCTTCTAATCCTTGCTTGACCTAATCCGTGTGACACTTTTCCTATAACGGGCAAATAACGCCAGGATAAGACTGACAACTTCCGTCTGAACGGCAGCATCGAGTCCAGTCGTAGCGGCACTAGTTAAAGTGAGTATTTGGTTGCTCAAACGTCAAATGGCAAGAGGATCTTGATCACGTTTCAAAGCTTACGGTGGATGGACTGCTCCAATTAAAACCAGCGCAAGGGCAGATGTTGCCATTTAGAAACGCACATTCACGAAGAATCGCCCCGTTGAGGGCAGTGCGATTCTTGTTCGAACACTTTCCAGACCCCATCACAGACGTTCTATCAACATTGAACGGAAATATAAGAATGTATACAGTGGGAGGCAAAAAGTATTTAACTAGGTCAGGTACCTGGCTATCGCGCTCAAATTTACAGTATACTATAGAATATTAGTATAAACTTCTTGGTGAGCGAATATATTCTGCCACATACTGTAATTGCTTCGCAACTAGCTTGTTCCTTTCCGTGACAAGGGCTGCCAATCGTGACACGTCCCCCTGATCGATCGGAACGGAAGCATCTCTCTTATTAGAACAAACAAAAAAAAAAGTAATAAGAGCAACTCGACTGTCCGGAAAATCTCAACCATTTAAACTCCCTATCGAGGCCTCGATCCCGTGTGTATTCCCTGCTTGGCCCTATTTTCTAGCCCTTGCCAAATGACATGAGCCATCCTTCTCTCATTCCATGGTTTTGACGTGTTATGCGACATTATTTTAGGCGGGCTCTCCTTGTAGTCTTTCCTCGAGGGGACCTCGACGGCAGCTCCTCCGCTATGTTGGCCTTGCGTTTCATTTCTCTTTCTGCAATCCTGGCGCTGCGGCGCACTGGATTGGCTGGATTGGAAACAGCTTTGGCTCTTTTCCCTCTTGTTTTGCCGCTTGCAGGCTCTACCCTTTTATCACCAGGCGGTATCCTTCCTTCCACCGCACCGTTTGTGTCCACAGTCCTCAAGCCATGTGGCTTGTTTGCTTCAGCGGAATCGGATGCATTATGGGGAGCCGAGTGTCGAGTATTACGCCTCAGCCGTTTGGGAGGATGTTCATCCTCGACTGCGCCAGAACCGTGACTGCGCTTGGATGGACGGGGGGCTGAGGGGACACCTCGCTCCTCCCTTGGTGGCCTCGCAATGCGAGGCGACCGCCGAGGAGCGTCTGCCGGGCCCTGTACGTCGTGGTTGACTGGGTTCTGGTGACTTAACGCTTCCCTCGTCCTTCTGCCGGTCCGTCTCACCGTATTAGAGGCTTCGGCATCCCCAAGAGCTGGAGCGGAGCTGCTATTACTGCCACCACTGGCGACGTGAGAAATTTGCGTTTGCCCGAATATATTGATAGTTTGCGGGACGGAAGCGTGCTGTCTGCCGTGATCGATGGCGTTCTCTTGCTGTCTTATGGTGGCATCAGGGGATGCAGGAGCTTCCACTTCCTCCTCTTCCTCGGGTTCTTCGTGGATCCACGTCATTCCCGGCAGCTCGCCCCACTTGGAATTCCAAATGCCATCTTCGATCCAGATGTCCTTGACGCTTTGGTAGGCCATGGCATCAAGGTCGACGCCAGTACCGGGTGCCTTGTGGTCTATCTCGTCCTTGATCCACTCACACTCCTTGGATATCTGATACAAGAACTGGTTATAGGGGCGGGATGCCTCGGGATTGCGAACGGTGGGATTGGGAATATATGGACGCGGTCCCTGTTCTGTCTGGATAAGCCTGATAAGCGGATGAGGCTTCGGCCGTTTTGGCTGGCCTACACCAGAGCCGAAGATACCAAAGACAGGTCGTCGTTCCTGCCCCGGCTCCGACCTTGGTTCTGATTCCGATTCCGATTCCGATTCCGATTCAGGCTCTGGGTCAGGTTTCTCATGGCCCCAGCGAGCGCCTGGCCAGGACTCAGAAGTGGTCGAGTTGTAGGAGCCAAAGAAGGGACCATCTCCTTCTTGTTCCCATTTCATCGTCATTGGATGACTGTCCTCGGGCCATGCTGGGCCCCATTCATCCCCCCAGATGCCTTGTTCTACCCAGCGGCTGCGGACATTATTCTCGGAGTTGGCTCGAAGATCTGAAGAGCCATCCCACGGCAACGTCTGTCTTCGGCCAAACCGTTTCTCTGACATCTGATGCTCAAGCCGTTCGCGTTCACGTTTAGCCTGCATTTTGAACTGGCTCAATGGCGTCGTCTTGTAGCGAGCTCTCCTTCGTAGGTCTCGTTGATACGACTGGTCAACAATGGGTGGCCCGGGGGTTGGAGGCTGCGTGGTCTCGCCCGACTCTGAATACGGCGGGGGGGGTTCGTCGTAGCGTTCTTCTCTCTCATGGGCAAGCTGTTGAGGATTGTTTTGTAGTCGCTGCAGTACTTCAACTACCTGCGATAGGACGGGGCGCTGAGGATTATTGAAAAAGAAGGACATGTTCGCGATGAAAGTGAAGCAAACCTGCTGGAGCGGGAAGCTGAAGTGATTGGGAGCAGATGAAGGTGTTGACTTATGACAAGGGAGTAATGTTGTTTATGCTAGGGCTGTCTTGCGCTATAATTGGTTGTGGGGTGATACTGCTGACAAAGCGGAGCCAGCAACCTGGGGGTTGCAGCCTAAAGTGCCCGTGCCTGGCTTGCTTTATCAGGCCAGGCTCCATCCAGCGGCTACATTTAGACGAATAACGACAGTCATATAAGCGCCGGCCTCGCTGACACGCATCGCCAGAACAAAGTGCCTCGTCCAATTATTCCAGTCAGGCCTGCATGTCTCAAACTCGAGAGCGCCAGGCGTACTCTGTACAGTGGGAGAGGGGAAGTACTTAACAAGATCAAGTACCTGGCTATCGCGCTGTATATTATAATACATTACAGTATATTAGTGTATACTTGTCTGTGGATAAATATATTCCTCCATAGACTGTTGAAAGCTGGGGTATATGGCCGCCTCCGTAGCAAGTTAAATGCCATGTGCACCATTTGTACGTATTGTAACGAGATCATCGTCGTCAAACTCGTTCCAACATTGTCGTTAAACTCGTTCCAACATCGTCGTCAAACTCGTTCCATTTTCGTCGTCAAACTCGTTCCATTTTCGTCGTCAAACTCGTGACGTCGTCGTCGTTAAACTCGGGCTTTTTTTTTTGTCACACTATTCCGTCCACTATGCCTCGCAGCCCTCATCCTCTTGCTCTCTTTTCCCTCGTGCCTGCAAACGATAGGGCCGCAGCAGTTCTACTCCAACCCGAAAATTCCCGTCTTGTCTCACGTTTTGTGGACAGCAACCTCCATGTCGAGGGGTATGGACTCGACATTGGCTTATTCATCGGCTCAAAGTCACGCTACACGTTGGCCACCATCGGACGCTGCGGCGATATCATCGTCGAAGGGGCGGGTATCTCGCGTATACAGTGCTCTTTCGAGATCCACGAGAACAATCAGAGGGAGATCATGCTCCAAGATCGCTCAACCAATAAATCGACTCAGTTTTTCGGGGAGACAGCGAGGCCATTCGAGTCAGGGCGTACCCATCGCCGTGTTGTCCTGGATGAACAAGTCAATCTAGAATTCGGGTTTGGCGGAGCGGCGTGCGATTTGTACCGATTTCGAATCGCTTGGCATGATCGTGGTAAACTCATGGCCAACTTGAATATCGATTATCGGGAAGACAAACCGCGTCTGACTCGCACTGTCGTAGATGAGCCGCCGACTATTGCACCATCTAGGCGTATTACCCGGATCCATACTCCTGGCGACCTAGAAAGGATCAGGTACTCAAGACGAGAGGTCCTTGGAAGCGGAGCGTTTGGGGAGGTTTGGAAGGTCGCCAATATCGATTCTGGAGAGTATCTGGCGGTCAAGCGTGTGAAGCGCCCAGCCCTCCTGTCCGATGATTTTGTTCGATTGAAACGGGAAGTCGAGACGTTATCCCGCATTTCTCATGTAAGCAAAATCCGACGAGATCTATTAGCGATTAGCTAACGGTATCAGAGGCACATCGTAGAATACAGAACAGCCCAATGGGAAGACCAGCACCTTGAAATATTCATGGAAATCAAGGCTGGGAACGTCGAAGACCTGGTCCGGGGTGGCGTCTTTATAACAGAACCAGCTTCAGCCAGCCTGCTTTTTCATCATTTGCTTCAAGCGCTTGACTACCTCGCGAGCCTAGAGATCATTCACCGAGACGTTAAACCCGAGAATATTCTATATACGCCTCTGCCAGATGGGAGCCGTCTATACCAACTTGCAGACTTTGGCCTTGCGAACATAGTTGCTGACGCCCAAACGTTCGCTGGATCAGGAATCTACATGGCTCCTGAGCTGGACAATGGCCCGCAATGGCCCCAGACGCCGAAGATGGATGTCTGGTCCCTCTTTGTCACTCTCACGTACGCGATGAATGTAGGCGGCTTTCGAGAGAAACCGTTGCACACAACTGCCCTTAGAATCAAGGCTGTCCAGGAGGCGGCCAACGAGGTAATATTTCAACCTCTTCGAGACATGGCAATCGAGGATCCTAGCCAGCGAGCGACAGCAGGGGATATGTTGGATAAGCTCTTCGCCGGAGTGGGCCGCACCACTTCTCGCAATCGGATTCACGACGCTGCTGCAGTCTGTTCCCCAGGGCCGTCGCCCGTTCAGCAGGAGACAAAATGGGTCAATAGAGTAGTAGAGCAGAGGCCGCCAAAAGAGGGTGCCGTGGCGAGGGCGAAGCGTCGGAGACCGGTTCATCCTGTACCCGGCCCTACAACACGTGCAGTCCAGAGACGCGTGAGACAAGACGAGCCTCGATTGCCAGGCTCATTCCCGGCCGCGTAAAGGCGATTTAAATGGAAAGGTTACTATGTAAGCATGGACCCAGGACATGAAATGATTAGGTAAGGAAACGGGGGAGAAGTTTAGTTTTAGGTAGTTTATGATTTATGAATACAAGAATGCAAACTTGTCTGAATCTTTTTTTTAGCCTTGATACGTACGTGTTTGCTTCTCGCGTGGCCTCGAGTCATCTTGGAACGGCCACGACTTGACCTACTTGACTGGGGATTCCTCATGAAGGGGCGACTAAGACTGTACACGGAGTGCAATTAGATGGACGAGACGGGCAGGATCAGATTTGGCCAAGACAATGAAAAAACTTGGGCGCATATCGAATTAGAGTTCCTGTACAATCCTCTTGCTGGTTCTGAACCATGTTGGAGACTTTAGATTAAAGCCGGACCCGCACGTATATCCGTTGTCTGGAGCTTGTTGACCGGTCATCTCGCCGACCAACGGCAAGAATAAGCGTGGAGAGGCGCAGAGATACGAGAGTGACTGCACATGTGAGCATTTAAAGGTCTGGCGATTTTAGTTGGCAGTGCATCCATCCATCATGTCTCAACTCGTAGGGTTTCAGACACAACATTTGAACATTAAATCAACCTGGTGGGCCGCACATGCAGTCACTCTCCTGCAGCCGCAAAGCACCAGGCACAAACGTGCTCTGAGGCCCCGTTGGCATTCTGCGCCATGTCACGGACGAGACAAAGGCCCTCCTGGATGCCTCACGGCTGCTGTGCCCCGCGAAGTTAGGAATGAAGCCAGAGGGGGGCTGTGCATCTTTAGCCATTTCTGGGAGCTATCTGAGGCTTGCGGGCTCGACTTGTATCCTCTTGTTTGCTGTAGCTTCGCGGGCTGTTTCTGTTGCGCTGCGCGGGCGCGGCTGTAACTTGTTTCGGCTTGTCGGCTGTTTTTCTTGTGTTTGGCGTCGTCGTCTTGTTCGCGCTATGCCGGCTTCCTGTTGTGCCTCATTCAGTCTTTGTCCAGCTGCGCTTCCCGGCCGCTTCTTTATTTTGCCTCGACTGATCATTTTTCATATCCTCGTCGGCTTTTCACGGTGCTGCGCGTGCCAGTCGACGTCACCCACTAAACATCATTGTCGTAGAAAGCTTGAGCCTCCGTCCCAAATCCGTCGCATATATAAACCAGACAGTTGACCCCTTCGCCTCGCCACTCTCAACCAGGAGAAATCCGTCTTCACCAACACCTTTATCGCGAAAAGCTCGAGCCTCATCATAAATACGCAAGACGTATACACCCATTCGCCTCCAGCATTCTCTACCAAAGGATATATATCTGCACCACACCATCATCGTCGAAAGCATGGCCCTCGGTCACGAAGCCGCCGCATACAATACCCCTTCGCCTCCGGCACTCTTAACACAAGCAGACCACCTACCTGCACTAACATCATCGCCCAAACCCCTCACCATGGCATCGCAAGAAGATACATCTCAAGAAGATACATCGCAAGGAGATACATTGCAAGGAGATACATCGCAAGGAGATACATTGCAAGGAGATACATCGCAAGGAGATACATTGCAAGGAGATACATCGCAAGGAGATACATCGCAAGGAGATACATTGCAAGGAGATACATCGCAAGGAGATACATTGCAAGGAGATACATCGCAAGGAGATACATTGCAAGGAGATACATCGCAAGGAGATACATCGCAAGGAGATACATTGCAAGGAGATACATCGCAAGGAGATACATTGCAAGGAGATACATCGCAAGGAGATACATTGCAAGGAGATACATCGCAAGGAGATACATCGCAAGGAGATACATTGCAAGGAGATACATCGCAAGGAGATACATTGCAAGGAGATACATCGCAAGGAGATACATTGCAAGGAGATACATCGCAAGGAGATACATCGCAAGGAGATACATTGCAAGGAGATACATCGCAAGGAGATACATCGCAAGGAGATACATTGCAAGGAGATACATCGCAAGGAGATACATTGCAAGGAGATACATCGCAAGGAGATACATCGCAAGGAGATACATCGCAAGGAGATACATCGCAAGGAGATACATCGCAAGGAGATACATCGCAAGGAGATACATCGCAAGGAGATACATCGCAAGGAGATACATCGCAAGGAGATACATTGCAAGGAGATACATCGCAAGGAGATAAATTGCAAGGAGATACATCGCAAGAAGATACATCGCAAGGAGATACATTGCAAGGAGATACATCGCAAGGAGATACATCGCAAGGAGATAAATTGCAAGGAGATACATCGCAAGAAGATACATCGCAAGGAGATACATTGCAAGGAGATACATCGCAAGGAGATACATCGCAAGGAGATACATCGGAGAAGAATCCCCGGGTCTGTCTCCTCGTATGCGGTTTTGCCGCTATCGGAAAGACGTATCTTGCCGAAAATAATCTCGATGGATTGTGCGGTTACAAGATTGTGGATCTGGACTCATCCAACTATTCCAAAGACGCGATTGGAGAGCCAAGAGAGGACTTCAAGGATGCCTACTCGAACGCATGGCTCAAAATCATGGACGAAAACAAAGACTCAAACGTAATCATCCTTCTTTCGACTCACCTGCAAACACGGGAAGGACTCGTCCAAAACAAGATGAAATATACCTTGGTTCATCCGCCTAGGGAAGCGAAAGTCGAGTGGCTCAGACGCATGAAGTCCCGAAATTCAGATGATAGTCTGATCGAACACTTCCGAGACAATTGGGACGCCATGATAGACAGCTGCGGGGAACAAGATGATTATGCAACGACACTTGTTCTCGGTCAAAATGAGTATTTATCTGATGTGATGAAGATTTTGATCCACCTCAACAAGCCAACCGAAGGCACCAATTAAGGGAAGGGAGGGGGGAACAACCTGCGACATACTACGGCGGCAATTTCAGTCGACCGTGTTATGAAGCGGGAATGGGGGAGGACTGTCACCTATTTGGGGTTTTCATGTACTGTCTGTGGTTTCCGCCCAGTGTTGAACACTTTGGGCTTCTTTGGAATCATGGACGAGTTCGGCAGCAAGGGGAATGCAACTTCTATCAAGAAACGTCTCGAGATTCCTGCCGAGCCCAGTCGACCGATTCTTTATTGCATGCATGCTGAATGCCATGCGAATGTTTCAACTTGGGCACTATTCCAGAAACCCGTGGCCTCGGGTTTGCTTTGGAAAACAGTCTAAACAGCGGTACTTTTGAACTAAAGATTGTGACACGGGGTTTCAGCTCCTATCACTCTTTTTCCTATTGGATGATGTAAATGATGCGATTTTGGGGGATCGCAATCAAGGTAGACGCGAGACGGATGAAGACGGACAGGGGAGCGTGTATAACTACATCCTGGGCAACACAGCCATTGTTGCACGGTCGGAGCTCAACAACTACAAACGCCCGACAAAGGGGCATCGCCGACATAGGACCTACGGATTACATAGACTGAACACGAGACCCGCTGGGAGCCTTAGGCACAGCTTTTCTTTTCATATATATATAGTGGTCACTCGTCCCTTCCTTTCCCTTGAAAATCAAGGACCTTTGGCATCCTACAAGATTATCTTTGAACAGAGTCATTCTGCTCCAAGCTCTTGATATCAAGCCCTCTTCACGGCCATCCAGTGGTAAATGGTGGCCGGGATTACATCTATGAGATGACGGGTTATAAATTGTATGTTTCAGAGCCTCATTTCGCCAGCGCACGTCGTACGGTCGGCCTCGCTGAGCGGGCATTAGCTTATCCATCCTCCGGAAGAAAGTCCACAGTAGTTATATTCCAGTCTCTTTCGCAGCTCTGGCGATTTAGACGGGGACTCTTCCACGGAAGACCAGGCACATGGCTTCTTCCTGGTATACGTCAAAGACTCAGAGCTCTCTACCGAGTTGCACAAGGCTGAGCTTTGCGGTTCGTGCGAGCCTTTATTGGGATCCCAATGCCACTGCCAGCCTTCATGTAATTGTTAATACTTTTGGGCGTGGCAAGGGCAGGACATTTGACCCATCTTGTCGCCACTATAACGCACCGTCCATGTGCCACCTTTCTTTGAGGGCATGTTTAGAATACCTAGCTGACGATTTAACACAAGTTCAGGATTTTCTACCATGTTCAGTCAGTCACTTGTATTACTGTATGGGCGTTTTCAGGCTTTCAAGCCCGACAGTGCCGCCATAACTACCATGTATCGCGCTCGAAGTTGCACCAGTACGTCTTGTAGCCTAGTACTTAAAATGTGCTGCGATTCACCAACTGTCTAGTTTTCTCACTTTAGTTATTTCGTATAAGCCATATTTTCCAATGAATACGTATATGTCTCTACCTCTAGATCGTCGGATTTACGGGTGCTTTTGTCACAACCCTAGCTATGTGTCGCGAGTTCAATAACTCGAGTGTCCACGTCTTCGCCAGAGCAAGTAGCTGGCCCAAAGTAGTCCTAGGTGATGAGCATTAGTGTATGTTTTTGAAACCATTCATGCAGCTATTCATGTAGCCGAAGAGATGCACCGACCAGCAATGGCAATTCCTCGCCTGATATAAGCTTAGTAGTACCTTCTCTTGGCTGCATTACCACCGAAATACTTTGCCTCATCTTTTCATAACTGTCACACTGTACAGAAATTTCCATGGTTACTGGCCTTGTTCCATTTGCACACTTAGTGTGACTCAAGTGGTGGTTGTTATGCCGGATATTGATATTTACATGGTCAGGTCAGGCGGCGCTGTGGCCTTGAAACCTTTTATCAGGCAACTGACAAAAAGCCGCAGCACTTGCATGCATCAACTCCTTGAGTACTCATTGTAAAGGGGGTTTGGCTCCTGACTTCTTTCATCACCCAATACGGCTAACCGGGTTTCAAGCATGTACCCTAAATCAGTGGGCTCATGAAAACGCCTAACATGAGCATTCACTCATGACCCAAGTCTTATATCTAGTTTGCAATAACCAATTATCAACGTCCCTCAACGATATAATGGACCCCTGTTATGGAATTACGTGAATAGAGTGAGTGACAGTTTAGATTCCCTGTACACACCGCCATCTTATCCAGCCTTGCCGTGTAGATAGCTGTGACAAGGGCAGGGTGACTGGGCTTGGAACATAAGGTTCAATTTAAACTTCATTATCAACTTTCAGGTATTAAAGGTCCTTGGTTTTCTAAGAGGCCTCAAGGGCCTAGTGGTCTCATAAGAAGTCGTTGAGCCCTAGCAGCCTGAGGCAGCCCTTGCCAAGGTCCGACTCTGGGCTCTCATGATACCTTTCTTTGTTGTTGTGTAACCTTGGTTATCCGATGCCTTTGTCCAGGTCTTGACCGTGTGACAATAGCTTGGTTTCCGTAGCCAGTACTCAACCATATCAACCGCCGTTGTTGTCATGTCGTTGTTGTCATCGACATCTTGAATGCAGTTAGACATGCACCTAATCTTATGAGGAATCGTTTAATAAAGCTACCTAAGCAGCCTTACAAATTTTGTAGGCTCGGGTACGTTTGGAGTAGTTGGGCGGCTGTCCGAGCTAACGGACTGAAGCTTAAATTTGTTACACAACCAGCTCGCTGTATCGGCATCTTTGATGAAACAATGCGCTTCATCCTCGAAAATTGTGTCGGTGGCTGAAAACTAGTCATGATAGTTGTATAGTGCTCAGTTTGGTTATAATTAGTCCCAGGGCGAAAGCTGACGCGAAACCCGCTCACAGGGCGTGAAATCGACTACCACCTACTCATCCAGCCTCGCCTTTGAAATAACAAGGCATGCAGAAATTTACTTTGTCCCCAGAAGTGGACGTCCGTTGGGCGCCGGGAGGGCTGAGGCTCACGGCATATTTCCGCGCCACAAACCGCCCGTGCCTTGTTATGCCATCTTCGCTAGGCTAATTTGCGGGGAGATTTGCGGGGTGCCATAGTACGGTAGCATATTAGCTAAGGTCCGCAGTTGCTGCTACAACCCCATATCTAGCATTTTAAGCGATTTTAGCGGTTTAAGCGGTTTAGGTAATTTAAGCTATATATATAAAGCTAATCTTTACTTTATTAATTCTTTTATATAAAGAAATTAATTATTAACTTAAAATATTATAAGAAAATATTAATTATTATCTTAAATTAAATAAAACTATTATTTAATACTTTTACTTAAAGTTACTTAACTTAAAGCCTCTTTAATTATATAATAAAATAATAAGGGATATAATATAATAAGTAATATATATATAATTAAGTAAATAATAAATAAAATATATACGTATAAGCTTATAATATTGT